AAAAATAAATAAATAGCCGAAACCGGTTTGGCTCAGTGGATAGAGCGTCAGCTCTTCGACTGAAGGTCCAGGTTCGATTCCGGTCAAGGCATGTACCTGGGTTGCGGGCACATCCCAGTGGAGATGTGCAGGAGGCAGCTGATCGATGTTCTCTCTCATCAAATGTTTTCTAAACTCTCTATCTATCTCTCTCCCCTTCCTCTCTGTAAAAAACCCAATAAAAATATATTTTAAAAAAATAAATAAAAATAAAATAAAATATAAATAAATAAATAAATAAATAAATAAATAAATAAATAAAAATAAAGCAGGGGACAGTGAAATGAGGAGGACTTAGGATAGAAGAAGCACCAGCAGAGAGCCTAAGCAGGGCTGCTTTGGCTCTCTTGAAATTTAGAGAAAAGGGGGGCCTTGGAGACAGGTTTGGGGGGTGGTCAGTCCAGATGAGCTGCTGCTGCCCACTGCTCCTCTGGTTGCAAGTCTCCTGGGGACCCAGGGTTTAGGCGATGCATGCCTGAAAGGGAAGAAAGGTGTGGGCTTGCTCCTGGTCCTTTGTCTTGAGCGTTTAAAGGCTGGGAGTTTAGAGGAGGTCTTCAGGAAGGCTCTCATTAGAATATTCATCAGCTTTATGCCCAAATGATGTGCCCAAATGAGATGTGTTCCTTTAACTTATCTGTGCTTGAGTTTGGTTGGCACTAATTAGATTTCTGCTATCTATCTCCCTGAGTGGGGTGATTTAAGCTCTTTACTCCCTGTTTTGGGTGGAGAAGTATGAGCCTCTTAGTCTTTTATTTTTTTAATCCTCACCTGAGGATATGTTTATTGATTTTAGAGAGAGAGGAAGGGGGAGAGAGATAGAGAGAGAGAGAGAAGGAGAGAAATATCTATGTGAGAGAGAAACATTAATTGGTTGCCTCTTGTATTGCTTTGAATAGAGATTGAACGTGCAAGCTAGGTATGTCCCCTGACTGGGAATCGAACCCACAACCTGTGTTGGTGTACGGGATGATGCTCTAAACTAGTGACAGCGAACCTTTTGAGCTCGGCTTGTCAGCATTTTGAAAAACCCTAACTTAACTCTGGTGCTGTATCACATATAGAAATTTTTTAATATTTGCAACCATCTACACTAATAAAAGACAAACAAGGAAATTGACCATACCTTCGCTATGCCTTAAGCCATGCCCACCAGCCAATCAGAGCGACTATATGCAAATTAACCTAACCAAGATGGTGGCCAGCAGCCACGGAGCTGGAGCAAGCAGGAGCCTTGGTTGCCCCAGTGATGGAGGAAGCTAAGCTTCCCACCTGCTGAGGCCGGCTCTGAGCTCCACTCAAGGCAACAAAGTTTCAATTATAGAAGATAAATAAACCCCAGATACCTGCTTAAAGCTGGCCTTGGCCACAAAGCTGGAGTGAGCAGGAGGCTTGGGTTGCCCCTGGCGATGGAGGAAGCCAAGCTTCCCGCCCACCCTGGCTGGCTCTGAGCTCCACTCAAGGCTACAAAGTTTCAATTATAGAAGATAAATAAATGGCCCTCAGTCCCTCACCCAGACTGGCCAAGCACCCCAGTGGGGACCCCCACCCTAAACGGGGTGTGGCCAGCCTGAAAACAGCCATCTGCCCCTCACCCAGGCTGGCCAAACCTCCATGGGGTGAGGGTCCCCAATCGGGGGGGCTTAACCAGCCTGCAAACAGCCATCAGCCCCTCACCCAGGCTGGTCAGGCACCCCAGTGGGACCCCCACCCTGATCCGGGACACCCTTCAGGGCAAACCATATGCAAATTGACCCTAACAGCAGAACGACTGGGAATGACTGGTCACTATGACACACACTGACCACCAGGGGGCAGATGCTCAATGCAGGAGCTGTCCCCTGGTGGTCAGTGTGCTCCCACAGGGGGAGCTCTGCTCAACCACAAGCCAGGCTGATAGCTGCCAGCACAGCGGTGGTGGTGGGAGCCTCTCCCGCCTCCTCAGCAGCACTAAGGATGTCCGACTGTAGCTTAGGTCTGCTCCCTGCTGGTAAGTAGACATCCCCCGAGGGCTGCCGGGCTGCCAGAGGGATGTCTGACTGCCAGCTTGGGCCCGATCCCCCAGGGAGCGGGCCTAAGCCAGCAGGTGGACATCCTCCAAGGGGTCCCAGACTGCAAGAGGTCATAGGCCCGGCTGAGGGACCCCCCCCCCCCGAGTGCACAAATTTTTGTGCACCGGGCCTCTAGTAGTAAAATAAAGACTTATATTTTTAATATTTATTTTATATATTTAAATGCCATTTAACAAAGAAAAATCAACCAAAAAAATGAGTTTGCGTGTCATCTTGACACGCGTGTCATAGGTTCGCCATCACTGCTCTAAACCATTTACTCTTGTGTCCCTGGTTAGGGAAGACAGGATTTTGCAATGTACTAGTATTAGTTGGCTGTAAAGGCTTGGTTGTTTAACTATCTGTCTCAGTTTCCCTATTCCACTTGCCCTGGCTTCCTAACTAGTCTCTCTCACAGGGGCCCAGCAGCCTGGGGAGAGCTTTTGTGAATGGATACTGAGGTTGTTCCAAAAGATGCTAAGTCGACTGCAGAAGATGTGGCAGGCCTTGGTGGCCTGGGTGCAGGAGAAGTGGGCCTCCTTTGTCAGCGTGATGAAGTCCATCTGGATCGACATTAAGGATTTCTTCTCCAGTGTGGCACAGTACTTCTCAAGTTAATTCCTGGTCTAAAGAGTCCCATGAGGTACTGGAGGAGCTCAATCACACCTCCCAGCCCTTGGATTCTGCCCCCGCCTCCCCTACCACCACACACACACACACACACACACACACACACACACACTTCTAAGAAAGAATCTTCTAGAGTAACATTTGCTTTCCTGCTCACCCTTGACCCATCCTCAACAACCTCCCTCACTTCCACCCTGTTCACAGCCTCTCCACCTAGGTTTCCTGGGTTTCCTTCTCTTGCTACAGCATTTTAATAAACGTTGGTTCGCCCGGGGAGGGGGCAGGAGTGGGGGGAGGAGGTCAATGGGGAAAAGGGAGCTCTGTAATACTTTCAACAATAAAGGTAATTTGCTTCAAAAGTTGATTGAACCAAGTTGAGTGCCCGTCTGGGTGGGTGGCAGGGTGCTCAGTGGTTACAGGGAGAGGCTGTGCAACAATCAGATGGATCTAGGCCTGGATCTCGGCTCTGGTGAGAAAGGAGAAGCCACCTGACCTCTCTAATCTGTAGACAGGGCGCTGGTCACACTGGCCACGGACTTATAATGAGCACATGAGGATGTCAGCCTGTGCACGGCTTCTCGCAGGGCCTGGCTCATAGTAAGTGCTCCATAGCTGCCCGTTCCTGAACACAAGGGACTTGGGCCCCTTTTCTTTTCCTGACCACCCTCTTTGGGCCTTCATCACGAGGCAGGACTGGGCCTCTGAAACGCCTTCATCTTTCTTCTGAGATCAGAGGCCCCGGGACTGGGGCAGTGGTGGTGGTAGGGAGCAGACAGAGTGCACTTCTATGTGAGCCTGGAAGGAAGGCAGATTAGAGAGGGGAAACCATCTGATCTCTGGGCTGGCCACCTCACCTGGAACTGCAAATGCAGAGACTGGGGAGAGCCTGGAGCAAGGCCTGAGGCCTGAGGGGCCAGCACTGCTCACCATCTATGAGGCCAAATGCCTCCCACCCCCCAGCCCTGACTTCCTGCTCCAGGCAGATGCATACAGAACCGCTTTGCATTCAGGGGTGATTGGCAGCAAACAGCAGCTGCTGGGATGAGATGAAGGTGGGGCTGACCTGAAGCAGGAAGAAATGGGAGGAAGTGGGCCTGATGAAGAGCAAACACCAGCAGTGGGTGTGGGGAGGGGAGAGGGGAGCCAGGAGACCTGAGGGATGGGGGCATTTCAGTGGGTCAGTATCCTGCACCCTCCTCTGCCAGCTTCACACCCTTTGGCTGGTAGAAACGACATCTTGATTCCTAGGAGGAGCTCCCAGTAAGGGCCAGGTGTCAGTCCTGCAAGAGGAGCAATGGCTGGACCCAGACCCTTCCGGTAGCTTCTCAGTGATCCCGATGATCCCGAGGGATCCGGCCCCAGCAGGGAGGGCACAAGTGGCAAGGATCTTCCTCACCTTTGGCCCTGGCCTCTACCTTCCTAAGGAAGACGGCAGCCCCTCTGAGAGTTCCTTTTAGCAGAGCCCCACTCGTGCTCACATCCTATCCTCCTTCATTTCCAGGGGACCCTCTGACATGTCTTCACACTGTAAGGCCCATCTCTGGCCTGAATTCCCTGGCTCCGAGGGCTGCCCACTGCAGGTCCTGACCAGCTTTCACTTACCCTGGTCATGTCCTCACCTCACGTTCCAGGAACCATTCATTTTTTTTTCTTTACGTTTCTATGGATTTTTTATAAAAATATGTTTTTATTGATTTCAGAGAGGAAGGGAGAGGGAGAAAGAAGTAGAAACATCCATGATGAGAGAGAATTATTGATCAGCTGCCTCCTGTACATCCCCTACTGGGAATCAAGCCCACAACCCAGGCATGTGCCCTGACCAGGAATCAAACTGTGACCTCCTGGTTCATAGGTCGATGCTCAACCACTGAGCCACGCCACACCAGCTGGGCTCTTTTAGAGATTTATGGACTTCATTTAGAGAGAGAGGAAGGGAGAGATAGAAACATCAATGAGAAGGAAACATTGATCAGCTGCCTCCTGCATGCCCCCTACTGGGGATGGAGCCTGCAACCTGGACATGTGCCTTAACTGGGAATCGAACAGGTTGGTTCATGAGTCAACTTCTGAGCCACACCAGCTGGGCATCAGTCATCATTCTTGTTCTTTCAAACCCTGTCCATGAATTTCCCAAGTGACCCTGTATCAAACCACTGACCTCTGCTCATGCCCTCCCACTTAATTCTTCTAACAGAAAAAACTGTCCCCCTGTGCTAAAGCCACCAGGAGCTTTGTGGCCCACCAATCCCTTGAGGTCACCTCCTGGCTCACCTCCCAGCCTTTCCTCTTTTAAGCGATTTCAGTCCAGAAGCCAAGCTCTAAATGCTTTCATTGTTAAAAATGAAATAACTCCTGGCCTGAAGCCCAACCCTGGCCTGTAAGGTTCTGCCTGCATCATAGGTCCCTGCAGATCCCCCTCCTGGACAACATTCTTTAGCTGCCTGCCAAGCCTCTCCCATCTCAGGGCCTTTGCTCATGCTGTTCCCTCTGTGCGGGGGGCCCTTCCCACTCTCCTGAGGCTGCCTCCCTCCCTCTATTAGAGTCTTTGTTCCCCTCAATAGCCCACACAGTCCCTGGCACACAGTAGGTGCTCAATAAATAATAAGCTTTCAGTGCCGTGGGTTCTCCCAGCTCCTCTCAGTCTCCTGGTTGACCAATCCTTCCTCTTTGAAGTTTCTTCCCCTGGGGTTTTCCAGGAGTTGAATTTGTTGTGTGACATCTGGTGGCTCTCTATACCCCAATCTTCCTCCCAACCCCCAAAATGCTGACCTTTGCTAGACTCAGAGCTTTCCCACCCACCTCCCTTAGTCCCGTGAGCCCTGGTGAATAAGTTCTCTAACTTTCTACAAAAACTTGTTAAAGAGCAGTTATGTGTCAAGTGGGGTGGAGGGGCCACAGAAACTCAGACACAGCATTTTTGTGGGTGAAAAGCCACAGACAACAACAGGAAGTTCTGATGTGCTCTGGAGCTGGGGTGGGCTGTCTTCGTCTCCTGTATTTCTTTTTCATAATTTGTGTATTTTAATGTTTTTTATTAATTGATTTCAGAGAGAGAAAGGGAGAGGGAGAGAGATAGAAACATCAGTTGGCTGCCTCCTAGAGCCCCCTACTGAGGATTAAGCCTGCAACCCAAGGAATTGAACTGGTGACCTCCTGGTGCATGGACCAACACTCAACCATTGGCCAGGCTCTCCTGTAATTTTATTAGAAATCACATGATTTAGTCTGTCCAGCATAGTTCAGTGGTTGAGCATCGACCTATGAACCAGAGGTCACTGTTCGATTCCCGGTCAGGGCACATGCCTGAGTTGTGGGCTCGATCCCTAGTAGGGGACATGAAGGAGGCAGCCAATCAGTGATTCTCTCTCATCATTGATGTTTCTCTTTCTCTCTCCCTCGCCCCTCCTCTCTGGAATCAATAAAAGTATATATTTTTTAAAAGGTAAGACATTTCCAAATAAAAAATTTCAAAATTATATTAACTGACTACTGCTGTTCTATGACTATAGAACTCTATCTTGGAAGGCATACAATGTAATACCAAAACTGAGAAGAGAGAGAGAAAAAAAAAGGATAAAACAAACTGAGAAGAGCAAATTGGTTCCAATTTGAGCAACAAAGGGTTTGACGGGCAGTGGCCGCCTCGCTGTGTAGAGAAGGGTCACCAGGCTCACTTTGGTCTCATCAAGGAAATCCCTGAGCTGTGCTTGCCATGGGCGCTGGAGGGAAGGCCAGAGGGAGATTTGCATTTGACATCCCGAATCTCACCCAGAGCTTTCCCTTTGAAGAGAAGGAATGTGATGCCCACAAAAGCCATCTTCTTTGCCGTGTTAGTTTAGTCTCAAGTCAGCATCTAAGGCAAATATAAAGGCATTTTAATATTTTGGATGATTCTTTTGAAATTATTTCTTTCAATCCCTGTTATCAATACAGAGCCGACTTCATTTTGCTTTCCTCCCTGGCATTATCATCTAGTTAGTGAATTTAATTCCTTTTTTCATCTTCAGTTCTTTCTGCACCATGCCTTTAATTTTTTTTCTTTAGGCCAGCGATTTTCCATCTTCTTTATCCGATGGCACACATAAATTATTGAAATCCTGCGGCACGCCAAAAATATATTTTTTGCCCATCTGACCAAAAAATAGGTATAATTTTGATTCATCCACATTGTATGGCTATTGTGTTGGATGCTGTCACTTTTTTATTTGACAATATAAGGGAAAGAGGTCAGTGCCCATGACTACATAGTCAGGTGTTGCACATTGTAAAAAGTCTTGCAGCACACCAGTGTGCCTCGTGCAGCACACAGGTTGAAAATCGCTGGCCTAGACACTTCTGGTCACCCGTAGACATTTACCCAATTGTCTCTCTTTTGACCAAATATTTTTCTCTTTTGTTTTTTGTTTAATTCCTGATTAAGAGAAAACTACCAGTATTGTAACAGATATTAAGTTCTGGTAGCTAGTTTATGTATGATGAACTTTAACACTCATTAAGTACAGGTGTCAGCTTAACTAAAAAACAGCACAACCAACACACACAAAGAAAACTGTCCAGCCCTTGTCAGTTTGGCTCAGTGGATAGAGCATTGGCCTGAGGACTGAAGAGTCCCAGGTTTGATTCTTGTCAAGGGCAAATCCCCAGGTTACGGGCTTGATCTCCAATAGGGGGTGTGCAGGAGGCAGCCAATCAACGACTCCCTCCCATTGATGTTTCTATCTCTCTTTCCCTCTGAAATCAATAAAGGTATATTTAAAAAAGAAAAGAAACAAAAACTGTCCAGCCCAGCAGGATAGTTCAGTTGGTTAGAGTGTTAGCCCAATAGGTCAAGGTTGCAGGTTCAATCCCGTCAGGGCACATACAAGAATAAACCAATGAATGCCTAAATAAGTGGAACAACAAATCCATGTTTCTCTCTCCCTTTGTCTCTCTCAAATAAAAAAAGGAAAAAGTGGCTGGAGTTGGTTGGAACATCGTCACTGTTAGGGTCACCAAAAGAGGAACGCAGGAGGCCCAAAGGGGTAAAGAATTATGAATTTATTAGGTCACTGGAAACCAGATGGGTTGTGCCCCAAATTGGCACCAGCACCCAGGGACTGGGAGTCAGCGATTCTAAAGGACTCTAGGCGGGCATTTTCTGGGCGGAGAATTCTCTGGGCAGGTCCTGAGGGGAAAGATAATGGTCTTAGCAAGTGGAATGTGGTCTCAGCAAGAGCTAAGCAAAAGGGAACAGTCTGTTGTGAGTGGCCTAAAGGCAGTTTCCCAGAGGAGGGTCTCCATTCAATTATTCCATCAGATCTAACAGCCACGCACACCTGGTCAAGGCACATACTTGGGTTGTGGGTTCAATCCCTAGTCAGGGTGCGGGTGGAAGGCAACCAACCAATGGTTCTCTCTCATATCCATGTTTCTCTCTCTCTCTCCCTCCTTCTCTCTAAAAAATTCAAGTAAAAAAACCTGTCCATGGGAGGGGGAGACAGGCCAAGAATGCCTGATGGGTAGTAAAAAGATGGGGGGGTACACTGACAATCCAGTTTTGGGTTTAGACCAGCGGTTCTCAACCTGTGGGTCGCGACCCCTTTGGGGGTAGAACGAACCTTTCACAGGGGTCGCCTAAGAACATCGGAAAACACATATATAATTGCATATTGTTTTTGTGATTAATCAGTATGCTTTAATTATGTTCAATTTGTAACAATGACAATACATCCTGCATATCAGATATTTACATTACGATTCATAACAGTAGCGAAATTATAGTATGAAGTAGCAACGAAAATAATTTATGGTTGGGGGTCACCACAACATGAGGAACTGTATTAAAGGGTCTCGGCGTTAGGAAGGTTGAGAACCACTGGTTTAGAGGATTATAAGTGGTTAGGGGTCCCCTGATTTAGCTGCAGGCAGGTTTCATTTCACCTGCTAGCATTTTCCATTTGAATAAGTTACGAACATTCCAAAACAGTTTCCCATAATCATCCAGAAACTGGGACTTTAAATTTTATTCAATCTTAATTAATTTAAAGAGCCACCTATGGCTAGAGGATACTGTATTGGACAGCACAGATTAGGGTCCACTCCAGAGAAATTCCAGGGTGAGGTTCCTTGGCCCTGCCCACGGCTGGCTGTGACAGAGCCACCTCCTCCTCTCACACTCACCCCACTCCGGGCCTTTCTGGGATTGGGGGGAGGGAGAAAGCCACCAGTGTGACAGTCAGGATGGATGTCTTTAGGGTAAATGTAAAAAAAAGAAAGAGGATCCCTAGCCGGTTCGGCTCAGTGGGTAGAGCGTTGGCCCGTAGACTGAAGGATCCTGGCTTTGATTCTGGTCAAGGGCACGTACCATGGTTGAAGCTCCTCCCTGGCCTGGGCCCTGGTCGGGGCACGTGCAGGAGGCAACCAATCGATATGTTTCCTCACATCGATATTTCTGTTTTCCCTTCTCTCTAAAAATCAATTTTAAAAATCCTCAGGTGAGAATTAAGAAAAAAAGAAGAAAGAAAGAGGAAGGCAGTTTTAGGGCAGGCCTCTGTGGTGGCCATGGGGCAGCATAGACGCTGGGGGCAATGCTGTGCCTGCTGGGGGGTTCAAGTCCCAGCCCTGTGGCCCTGTGGGCAGAGGCACCCTGGTTGACAGCAGAGGAGAGGAACCAAGTTATGCTTGACCTTAAAGCAGCAGGAGGGTCAGAATTAAATGGGAGATGCCATCCACAAACAGTTCTTCAAAAATTTCAATCAGGCTTTCTGCCTAAGTTGCCCTACAAGCAGAAAAAATAAGTCACTGGGAATGGTTCAATGTATACAAAAAAGCCCAGACACTCTCACCTCACATGGCTGTGGTGGACTGACCAAAAGAGGCGTGAAACTGGCCATGTTTATTGAAAAAGCAGCTGCTTCCGGGTGATTTCTCCCAAAATGCATATAAAATCTTATAAACCTCTTAGGTGTAATATATTTTGAAGACAGTTTATATGAACAATTTAAGTTGTAAATTTAGTTCACCTTTATGCCACATTTTGTAAAATTAATGCTTAAGTACAAAATGATTGTGTGTTTTTTGTTTTGTTTTTAAATATATTTTATTGATTTTTCACAGAGCGGAAGGAGAGGGACAGAGAGTTAAAAACATCAATGAGAGAGAAACATCGATCAGATGCCTCCTGCACACCTCCCACTGGGGATGTGCCCCAACCAAGGCACATGCCCCTGGCCTGAATCTAACCTGGGACCCCTCAGTCCGCAGGCCGACGCTCTATCCCCTGAGCCAAACCAGTCAGGGCTAAAATGATTGTTTTTTATTTTTTTATTTTTTTATTTTTTTTAAAATATATTTTATTGATTTTTTACAGAGAGGAAGGGAGAGAGATAGAGAGCTAGAAACATCGATGAGAGAGAAACATCGATCAGCCGCCTCCTGCACATCTCCCACTGGGGATGTGCCCGCAACCCAGGTACATGCCCTTGACCGGAATCGAACCTGGGACCTTTCAGTCCGCAGGCCGACGCTCTATCCACTGAGCCAAACCGGTTTCGGCAAATGATTGTTTTTTAAAGGCCCCTCTACTTTGGGCATTTTCAAATACATGCCGAGGCCAGGAAGAGATGCTTCCGGGGAGGGAAGAGCTAAGGCAGGGTTCACCTGCTCCAGAGGGAGGTGGTTGGGCGGGGCCAGGGTGGGTGAGGCCAGGACCTCCCCTGCAGGCCCGGGCTGCCAGGAGGCCAGGGAGAGGCCTGCAGGGCAAGCCTGCTAGTACAGGGTCTCCCGGGAGTGGGTTCTCAGGTGGCGAATCAGGTGGGAGTTGCGGCTAAAGCTGCGGCCACACTGTGTGCAGGAGTAGGGCCTGGCCCCTGTGTGCACCAGCATGTGACGCAGCAGGTTGCAGCTGCGGCTGAAGCTCTTGCCGCACTCCAGGCACTCTTGGGGGGGCTCGGCCTGCCCGGATGCCAGGTCCCCGGTGCCCGCATGGGTGGCCAGGTGCCGCTGCAGGTGGGCATTGCGCCGGAAGCTCCGGCCGCACGTCTTGCAGCCGTAGGGCCGCTCCCCCGTGTGGCTGCGGCGGTGGCGGGCCAAGTTGGAGCTGTTGCGGAAGCGGTGGCCGCAGGTGTCGCAGGCGTGGGGCTTCTCCCCGGTGTGGATGCGCTGGTGGCGCGCCAGGTGGGCGCTCTGGCTGAAGCCCTCGCCGCACTCGCTGCAGCGGCAGGGCTTCTCGCCCGTGTGGCTGCGCCGGTGGCGGGCCAGGTCCTGCGTCTGGCCGAAGGTCTTGCCACACTGGGCACAGCGGTAGGGCCTCTGGCCGCCGTGGGTGAGCAGGTGGCGGGCCAGGCTCGCTCTGCGCACAAAGCGCTTGCCACACTGCGGGCAGCCGTAGGGCTTCTCGCCGGTGTGCACGCGCTGGTGGCAGACCAGCTGGGTGCTCTGGCTGAACCTGCGGCCGCACACCTGGCAAGAGAAGGGCCGCTCGCCCGTGTGCACGCGCAGGTGGGCCGCCAGGTGCTCGCTGCGCCGAAAGGCCTTGCCGCACTCGCTGCACACGTAGGGCCTGCGCTCCGGGGCGGGGCGCGGGCTGTCGGCGCCCTCGGGGCCCTGGTGGCTCTTGTCTTTGGCGTGAATCCGCAGGTGACGCTTGAGGCTGGAGCGGCGCTTGAAGGTCTGGCCGCAGTGCGAGCACAGGACGATGGTCAGCTCTGCCACTTTGGTCTTGGTGTCCGGGGCGCAGGGGCCCTTTTGGTCCTGGGCGTGCGCCAGCAGGTGCTGCAGGAGGCTGGTCCGGCTCTGGAAGCCCTGGCCGCATTCGGCGCACAGGAAGGCGGGCTCCGAGTGTGTCTGCAGGTGCTTGTTGAGGTGGGAGCTCTGGCGGAAGCGGTGGCTGCACAGATGGCAGGCGTGCGGCCGCTCATCCGTGTGCGTGCGCATGTGCAGCTTGAGGATGGAGTTGCGGCCGAAGGTCTTCCCGCAGCACAGGCACTGGAAGGACCGCCGGCCCGGGTGAGAGCGCAGCAGGTGCCCTTCCAGGCGGGCCAGCTTCGGGAAGCTCACCCCACATTCTGTGCAGATGAACTTGGTCTCTGGCTCCGACTTGGGGGCGCCGGCGGCCGCTTGGCCCTCAGCAAACCCGTCACTCCTGCTGCCGGAGGACTCTCCTCCACGGGAGCTGCTCACCGCGGGGCCCTGCCCCAGCGGCTGCTCCTGGGCTCCTCCTGCCGCCCCTGGACTGTCCGGAGACTCTGTTGCGATAGCAGCAGACCAGGCAACCCCTTTGGGATCTTCTTGGAACTCCTCGTCTGGGATTCTGTTTGTAAATCCTGTAAAAGGAGCAAAACCAGGACTGATCAGGCCTATGCCAAGGGGCTCCCAGGAGGCGCCAGAACCTCATTGCCTGGGAACAGAAGGAAACCCAGGATCCGGTAGAGCTGGTGGGTGGGCAGAGCGTGTGGGGTAAAGACAAGTAACGAACCACTTACTACTGTAACTGTTGTATAGTGTGCACTTCTAGTCCATTAGATATGCTAGTGTTCACAATGCTGTGTAACTGTCACCACTATCCAGTGTCGGAAACTCCATACCTATTAGCAAGCACTCCCATGACTACCTTTTATATATATATTTCAGAGAAAGGGCGAGGGAGAGAGATAGAAACATCAATGATGAGAGAGAATCATTGATCAGTTGCCTCTTTCACTCCCCCTACTGGGGATCCACTCATAACCTGGGCATGTGTCCTTGACCAGAATCAACCCAGGACCCTTCAGTCTGCAGGTGGATGCTCTATTCACTGAGCCACACTGGGTAGGGCTGACTACCTATTTTAAAAATTCAGAGTTAGTCCTGGCTGGTGTGACTCCGTTGGTTGGGCGTCATCCCTTGCACGACAAGGTTGCCGGTTCAATTCCCAGTCAGGGCCCATGCGGGGTTGCAGGCTGGATCTCAGGTAGGAGGTGTGCAGGAGGCAGCCCATCGATGTCACATGGATGTCCCCCCCCCTTCCCCTCTAAGAAAATCAATAAAAATATTTATGAAGAAGAAGAAAAAAGCTCAGAGTTAAATGGGTTGATGATTAGACCAGACACAGTGAGCCGTTGAATATATACAGGGTGAGGCACAAGTAGGCTTACAGTTGTTTGTATGGAAAATAATAATTAATAAATGATAACATAAGAATAAACTCTGTTTCAGGTATTCACTTTTTCAAAAAGTAAACCTACTTTTAAAAAAATATTTTTTAAAATTGATTTCAGCCGAAACCGGTTTGGCTCAGTGGATAGAGCGTCGGCCTGCGGACTGAAAGGTCCCGGGTTCGATTCCGGTCAAGGGCATGTACCTGGGTTGCGGGCACATCCCCAGTAGGGGGTGTGCAAGAGGCAGCTGATCGATGTTTCTCTCTCATCGATGTTTCTAACTCTCTATCTCTCTCCCTTCCTCTCTGTGAAAAATCAATAAAATATATATTAAAAAAAATGTATGAATAATTTCTTAAAAAAAAAAAAAAAAAAAAAAGAAAAAAAAATTGATTTCAGAGAGGAAGGGAGAGGGAGAGAGAGACAGAAACATCAATCATGATAGAGAACCATTGATTGGCTGGCAGCCTCCTGCACACCCCAAACTGGGGATGGAGCCTGCAACCCGGGCGTGTGCCCTGACTGGGAATCGAACCAGGAACCTCCTGGTTCACCACTGGGCCTCCCTGGCAGGACTGTAAGCCTACATTTGCTCCACCATATATATGATCTCCATCAAAATAGCCCATGTTTAGCCAAAAAGGTTCAAGTATCAGGTAGGGGGTCTGAAGCTTCAGGAATCACATCCCAATGAAAAGAAAGGGGATTCAGGGTTTGTAAGCCCTGGAAGGGGCTCTTACCCTGAGGGTACACAGGCCATGCCTTCTTCACGGGGACATCTTCAAAGGTCAAGGACTCCTGTAACAAAAGGAGGGGCAGAACCCGCAGTGAGTAAGGAACATGGCCCTGGGGCCTGAGGGGATGGAAGAGTTTACTAGGCTTAAATTCGGGAAGACATGGAGTTGCTAAAACTGCAGAGGCAACGAACATTTGGGACAGAAGAGCATCCTGGAGTGAGGGGCCCAGTCCAACTCACCAAAACCGCTGCCAGCTCCTGATCACGGGAGTTCTCTTCAGACCACAGCTCGGGGCCCTGGGGGGCTGACAGCATCGGGGGAGAAAGTGCTGTGAGAGGCCAGCCTTACCCAGCAGCAGGCGGAGGACAGGCACCTGTTGTTCAGTCTCTGAGACTTCTTGGCTCTCACCCACTCGTGCCAATTAGGGGCTGCCCACTTCCCTCCCCACCTGGCCTCCCAGCTCCCACCTTCCTTGGGCACCGGCTCCTCACCACTATCCTGCAGGGCCTGGAATGTCCTCTTGGGACCTGGGCTCAGCGGCTGCTTTGAACTTGGGGGAAGTCTCCAGGCCCCCTGCTCAGCAGGCTGGGAGGGCCCTGGCTGGGGGGGCAGGAGTTCCGGTGCTGGTTCCAGGGCTGGAGGCTTTTCTGGGGGCACTTCCTTTTTGGGGCTGTGGATAGAGACCTGGGAAGGGTCCCCGTGCTCTTCCACGGTGATGTCTGCACGGGGACAGTTCTTGCCCGCATTAAAACTAAAGTCCTGTTCAAAACAAATCCATGTCAGGCAACAGACAGGGTGGTAACCCATGTCCTGCTGGCTCCTAAGACACAAAACCAAGGAAAGATGAGAGGCAGGTGGGAAGAAATTAGGAGGTTAAGAAGGAATGGGCACAGGGAGGAAAGGGGAGCGCCCAGTGATTTCTAATGGGGCCATGCAGTCCCTCTTTCCCGCCAGCTGTCCAGCCCACCGAGCTGCCACCCTCTTACCAGTGGCCCCACGTCAATGGACTCCCTCTGGACACCCTCCAGCAGCAGCACCACCTCCTCGCCGTCCCTGAGCTGCTGGCCCTTGAGCCGGGCCAGGATGTGCGGGGGCAGCACGCTCAGGAACTGCTCCAGCACCAGCAGCTCCAGGATCTGCTTCTTGGTGTGCAGGGCTGGCCGCAGCCAGTGGCCGCACAGCTCCCGGAGCCGGCTCAGCGAGGCCCTGGGCCCCATGTCCTCCTGATACTGGAAGCATCTGAAGAGCTGGTGAGCCACTTCGGGCCGGAGCCTGATCTCTGGCCGCCTGGGGTCCTCCTGGCCGGCAGCCTCCTCCTCCTCCAGTTTTACTGCACTGAGCTGCTCGGGCTCCCTCTCCGCCGGGACGGTTTCCACAAGCATCCTTCACCTTCGGGTCACCTCACCACACTGCTCCCACTCTGAGTCTCTCTCCCTCTCTGCTCCCACACCTGTGGTAAGAGAGAGAGAGAGAGAGAGAGAGAGAGAGAGAGAGAGAGAGAGAGAGAGATGCCTAAAGATGTGGCCTCCAGAGGAATCGTTTCTTGCCCTTGTCATGAGAATGGCTCGGCCAGCCCAATGCACCAAAAGGCAGAGAAACGGACAGTTCGGTATCGCCATCCTCTCTGCAGTAGTTAGAACTCTGCCTCACTTTACCCCAGTGGTCACAGTTGGTGGCTTTCCCTGCCTCTTTTTTTTAAAAAATATATTTTATTGATTTTCTACAAAGAGGAAGGGAGAGAGATAGAGAGCTAGAAACATCGATGAGAGAGAAACACCGATCAGCTGCCTCCTGCACATCTCCTACTGGGGATGTGCCCGCAACCCAGGTACATGCCCTTGACCAGAATCGAACCCGGGACCCTTCAGTCCGCAGGCCGACGCTCTATCCACCGAGCCAAACCGGTTTCGGCTTTCCCTGCCTCTTGATGTAATGCCGAGGGGAGTACCTGGCAGTACTGAGGATGGGTCCTTACCAACTATGTTCCATCGAAACCCAATCCGTTCTTCAGACCCAACTTCCAGTATAAAGGGCAGTGTAGGGCGTAAGAAGTCAAATGAGCCCTCAAGGAAAAATTGAATAAGCCTGAAGACAGGATGTTCCCGGGAACAGCTGGCCCAGGCTCTTCAGTCTGTGTTATAAAAATAAGTACCTGTAGAAGCGAATTGCTCCAGACTAACACCCCTTGCAACCAAAAGCATGGAACTTGATAGGATTCTGATTTTTTAAAATATATTTTTTATTGATTTCAGAGAGGAAGGGAGAGGTAGAGAGAGATAAAACATCAATGATGAGAGATAATCATTGATCGGCTGCCTGCTGCACATCCCCTTCTGGGGATCGAGCCCACAACCCAGGCACGTGCCCTGGACTGGAATGGAACCCAGGACCCTTCAGTCTGCAGGCCTTGCTCTATCCACTGAGCCAAACCAGCTAGGGCCGGATTCTGATTTTTAAAATATTTTTTTTCTACTTGGTTTTAGAGAGAGAGGAAGGGATAGGGAGAGAAAGAAACATGGATGCATCAACATCAATAAGTTGCCCCCTGCTGGGGATCGAGCCCCGGAACCCAGGGAAACCCAGGCATGTGCCCTGACTGGGAATCAAGCCTGCCTCTCGGTGCATGGGTTGACTCTCAACCACTGAGTGACACTGGCCAGGCTGGACTGGGGCCAGGGATCGAGCCTGCAACCAAGGTACACACCCTGGACTGGAATCGAACCCGAGACACTTCAGTCCTTGGACTGACACTCTAACCACTGAACAACCGGCCAGGGCTGGATTCTGATGTTTTAAAAAGGCTCTCAATGATATTTCAGGATTAATTAGGGAAACTGGAACATGGATGGGGCACTAGATGACAATGAAGGTGAATTTCTGAGATGGAATTTCAGTTGTGTGGTATGCAGGAGATGTCTTTATTCTTAGATGTTGAAGGGCTTGGAAGTGAAGGGACATGAGGGTTCAACCAAACTTACGGGCCGACAAAGAGCTGGGACGGTCTTCAGGTGAGAGATCCGCTTACAGCTTGCAGAAGTTTATGACAGTCGGGTCCCAAGGCAGGCCAGAACCGCCCTGCCCATTTCAGAGGCCTCTAGTGGGTGTGCCCTTGGGAGCTGGGTGTGGGCAGGACAGGCAGTGTTCTTCCCTTTCTTTATTTTTTTTAAAATTTTGGATTCTTCCGTGTCTATCCCTCTGGGAGGAATCCATCCCCGAGTCTGGCTGGCAATAAAGTGTTTCTAACTGGCCACCAGGGGGCACTGGATCCCTGTGACTGACAATGCCCCCCCCCCCCCCCCTCTTCCAAAAAAAAAGACTGAGTAGCCCCACAGAACCCTTTGGGACTTGCCAGGAAGTGGGGGGGGGGGCATTATCATCCTCATTATTACTGGGTAATAATACAAATGAGCACAGATAACAGTTGGTCCCGTGTTATGGCTGAGGACACCAATGCCCAGAGGTACAGACCAAGAAGGTAACTCAGTCCTGGCTGGTTTGGCTCAGTGGATAGAGCGTTGGCCTGCGGACTGAAGGGTCCCAGGTTCAATTCCAGTCAGGGACACATGCCTGGTTGCGGGCTCGATCCCTAGTTGTGGGCGTGCGGGAGGCAGCCGATCAATGATTCTCTCATCATTGATGTTTCCATCTCTCTCCCTCTCTGAAATCAATAAAAACGTATTAAAAAAAAAAAAAAGGAGGTAACTCAACCTTGGCCATGGAGCCAGGGAGAAGTCAGTTTGGTGCAGAGCTTTGAACAATATGTTGAGCCCTCTTGATATGGGACTCAGGGGCCAAGGAGCTGAGGGTTCTGTAAACCTCCTTTTCCGGTGGGGTGAGTGGGGTGTGAACTGGTAGAACAGAAAGAATCTGGCTTTTTGAAAGCCTGGTCCTACACTTCCTGCCTCAGAGAAGAGGAGAAAGGAGAAGGGAGAGGCCTACGTCCTCTCCACCTGACCAGGCCTGCCTCTCTCTCCAGCCTCCCCCACCCTGTCCTGCATCTCCCCAGCTTCCCTCCCCTTCCCCCACTCTCCTGCTTCTCTTCAGTCTTTCCGCTTCCCTCCTTAATCTCCCCTTCTTCCCCCTCCTCCCTCCAGCACTCCCCCAGACTCCAGCATCTCCGTTTCCCCTCAGCCTCTCCAACCTCTAGCCTTTCCTGCTCTATGTCATCTGGGGGTTTTTCCTTTTATTGCCGGCTCCTCTACCCATTGTCCCCTCGCTTGTGGAACTCCACAACACACCAGCCACGTGTCTCTCCCCCTCCAGTGTCACTCGGTGCCACAATTTTGTGTGAGTGTGTTTCTTCCCTTGGCCTGAAAGTAGGAACTGTTTGTGTGTGTTTTGTTTTGTTTAATTGATTTTAGAGAGAGGAAGGGAGGAGAGAGGAAAGTATCAAGGTGAGAGAGAAAGCAGCCCCTACCAGGGATTTTACCCACAACCTGGGTATGTGCCCTGACCAGGAATCAAACCTGCTACCCTCCGGTGCACAGGACAACGCTCCGGACCAACTGAGCCACAAACGGGCTCTTGTTCAGTAACTGTTCACCCAGCACTTCCTGTGACTTCAATGTTTGTTAATAGAAATAACAAAATGAGACGATAATGGCTGCCTTGCAGTTGTCATTTTTGAGGAACGCATGCAAAATGGTACAGAAAAGGTCTTTGATAAATATTTAAAAAAATGGAGTTTTGTTCCATTGTGTTTTGGTAGCAAGAGCAAAATAATTAGAGAACCAATCACGTGTAATCAGGAACCCGGTATTAACAGGGTGCCTCGCTATATGGGTTGCTGAATCCCACTCCAACCCACGGGGTAAATATGACAAATGCAAAGACTGTGTTCAAACAGGATGGGTAAACTGGTCAAGGTCACCCCAGGAGGAGACAAGATTTGCTGAAATTGACCACCAAGCAAAAGCCCAGAAACAGAAAAGGGCCCAGGTTCCCTCCCGCCCTCATCTTAGCAGAACATCATAATGTGAATCAGGAAAAATAATTCCAAATTCCAGCCATCAGGCCTAGCTACCCGGGGTGCCGGAACCGCCAGGTGAGGTCTCACCAAAAGGTTTGAAAGAAGTGGAATTCAAGGGAAATTGGCCTTTGAGTCCCTCCGTGCCTCGCCCCCTCCCCTAGCCCCAGCACACAAAAGCTTTGCTAATATGCACATCATCTGTGGGGGTTGGGCTGGGGGAGGGGGAAGCCTCTGCAGCCACCCTCTGGTATGTGACCATCTTAATCTGGAGCCCAGAGTCAGGGAGGCCAAAGCTGGACCAGCCCAGAGCGGGGTTGCTGCCATGAGCACAGAGCGGGGGTCCTTGGCCAGGAACTCTACCTTTCTCCCTGGACACAGTTGGCAGGAGTGGCTCGTCTTTGTTGGCTGGGCTCCGCTCTAGTGCTAAACTGAGTTGATAAGACCGGCCGGTCCTCCTGAGGACAGCGGGTACAGCAAGCCCATGTCTTAGCAAGTCTTGTAACCTCCCTGATGCCCCATCAACACCAGTCCACTGACCTGGTTGGCACTGGGCCCTTCCCCAGCATGGACCACCCACACCCTCTCAAGACGGTCTTCCAGCCACCTAATCCCCCATCAAGGCCTGAAGCACCCAACCTCCCCACTCCCGGCCGCCCCACTCTCCACGTTTTCTCTCCACACTGCGACGATCCCTTACGTTTGTCCTGGCAGCCGGCACCCCAGGCGCCCCTGCAACTCACCACTCGGTCCCCACTCCAGAGCCAGAGGTGCTGGGGTTCTGTGAGGGCTGTAGGACCAGTCAGGCTCGGCCAGGATGGGGGAGGACTCCAGGAAAATGGAACAGGAAGTTCCCAGCCCTAGTCCCAGCCCCAGCCCCAGCCCCAGCCAGGTGATGAGGGGGCATCCTAGAGTTAACCCTTAACCTCCCGGTTTGGGAGCCGAGTGGAGAGAAGGCAGGGCAGGGCCAGAGAAATGAAGACAAAGAGGCTAATCCAGATTCCAACCCCAAACTGCTTATGAGTCTAACTACCCCTCCAAGTAAGAACTGCCCCCACCTAGTCAAGACTGGTCTTATGCCCCTTGGGGTCTGTCAGCCTATACTTTGGGGTGAGGGGAACACAAGAGGTGCCATTTAAAAATGCCCAAGCCGGTGGCCCAAGCCGGTTTGACTCAGTGGATAGAGCATCGGCCTGTGTACCAAAGGGTCCCAGGTTCGATTCCCGTCAAGGGTACGTACATCGGTTGCAGGCTCCTCCCCGGCCCGGGCCCAGGAGACAACCAATCGATGTGTTTCTCTGTCTTTCCCTCTCTCTCTAAAAATCAATGGAAAAAATATCCTTGGGTGAGGATTAAATAAATAAATAATAAAAATGCCTGCTGTGCGCTGGGCTTTTTTCGAGGCATTTCATTCGT